TTGATCTTCAAAACATAAAAACTAGGATGAAATCAGGATAGAAAGAAGAAAAGGGAAAAAAAATCCCTGTTGACCAGCATGAGTGGGGAATGGGCCATTCTGCACTCGTGCCGGTCAACAGGTATTTGAACTAAAAAACGAGTGTAAATCAGTAAAAACTGAATGACTTAAAAAAATCAGGGAATTTATCAGTGAAAATCGGTAAAAACTGAGAATGTGAAACACTACAGATGCTTGTAAAACCACCTGATGGTCTGAATTTCTGAAAAATTGTATCTACAGTATAATTTGGAAGAAAAGCCAAGCAAATTGTCAGGTCCCTGCCTTTAAATGATCAATCTCTTGGTTATAAAAGGAACTTCCCAGCAAGATAAAGAAAATACAGATTCTTACTGTAAAATGCTTAGATAGATTTGGCATCTGTAGCTGGACAAAAGAAAAAGTCAGTTCCCCCTGGAAACAAACATCTTTCTCCCCCAAATAAAACTAAAATTATTTGGCAATGCAGAAGTGTTGCAGAAATCTTTTGCAAGTCTTTTACGGATTCACAAAGTGTGAGATTAGTAGTAATGTATAGATTTACTGTTAACCTCCTGCTAGCAGGGTTTCTAAAGGAGAAGTATTTAATACAGAATTATGGGCAAGCTTGCCCACTCCTGTCTGATGCACAGACTCCACAGGTACCAAAACCGCTTACTGGAATGCAGCTACCAGGGCAGTGAGACATGTTCGCTCAATGACTGATCCCATGTGCTGCATGTATGCGTTGTCCAGTATACAGGGTTATTTAGGCATGAGTTAAAAGACCCATATTGCATTCCTGGTGCTGCCAGGGACTCACTGTGCAAGCTACTGCAAGTCATTTTGGCCAAACACTGGCTTCCAGTTTTGATATCCAACTTGAGACATATTAACCTTAATTTTTTTAAGGTTCTGGGCATCCCACTCTCCCACTGTCTTGGGTGCAATTGTTGGTAGTCGGTACTACTTAGCACTAAATAACTAAAATGTGGTTATTTATACTCCTAATCTTCCAAAGACATCATCGCAATATATGTAACATGGAGATGGATTTAAAGAGAAAAGTAGAAATAAGAGTGCGTAGCAAAAAAGGTGGATATGTTAAGAATGACAGTCCAGTAATATGTCCTAACAAAAGCTGACCCTGGGAAATGAAAAGCACCTTTCAGTAGACTGTGAAGATATGATTGTCATGGATTCACAGACAAAAACACTCTAGAGGATTTTCTGGCTTCCCCTGAAGGTTAGTAGGGGTGAGTCTCTGTGAATTATTCCTGAGGCGGGGACAGTTAAGGGGCAGCTGGAGAGGAGAAGGAGACTGGAAGTCACCAACTGAGGGAGCTAACTGTAATGGGTGGGGATGCGGGGAGAGGAGAGACTCACCCTGGGAGATTTTCACAGGAACTTTTATGGGGCCTAGGTGGTAGTCTGAATGTAGGATAAAGATTTTGTCAGTTTTGTTTGACCTTAATCTGTCATCAAAGCACCTGATCACTTTTTCACGTTTTATACCTTTTGTTATCCTTTATAATAACCCCTTTTGTTTTATGTTATTTTCCTGAAGTGCCTGTGGTAAATCTTAATTTCTGGGCAAATTAATAACCTGGGCATGCCCCTTCAACAGGGTGGCAGACCCCAGATACATATCCCCAGGGTGTATCTCTGAGAGTACCTCAACATACTCAGGTTTTGTCACCCTGATGCACACCCATCTTCTCCTGAGGCTAGGTATCTCCAGAGTGTGTCTTAAAAGGTTGTCTAATCGCAGAGCAGTAGAGCTCCCTGCTGCCTGGCCCCAGCGCCAGCAAAGGCAAAGCCCCCAGCTGCCAGCGTGCTGCGAAAGCCACCTGCACCATGCTGGACTCTTGGACCCGGGAGGGCACAAGTGGCAGTGGCAAAGGTAACTTAAAGCTGTCTTTGGCTCCTCTGCACCCCATGAGAATTGTAGCCAAAACTCTGTCCCCAGAATTTTATACCCAGCATTTCTAACTGGTTCTGGTGCAGACTCTTGGATTGTCATCTGTAAAAGTGGGAGGGGGTGGGGAACGGTACTTGACAACTAACTCTTGAAGTAGGAGTCTGAAGCCTTTCTCACTGGGGCCGACCTTGAAGAACACAGATTTAAAACCAGTGAGTGAAGACCTGAGACTCTGCTAGCACATACTTCCAGAGCATTAAAAGAATAGTCTTATCAGTCTTACCTCAATCCTAGGGAAACTCTTTGAGAAGATCCTCAAGGAGCACATCTGTGATGGGCCGGCATCAGGGATGATGCTCAAGGGCAACCAGCACGGTTTCATTAGGGGCAGGTCATGTCAGACCAACCTGATTGCCTTTTATGATCAGATCACAAAGGCAGTGGATGCAG